TTTTTCCCCCATTTTTCCCCCCGAACCTTCATCTGGGGCACGGACTCCCCGGTCAGCATCGCCTCGTCCACCACGCAGCGCCCCCGCAGCAGCAGGAGGTCACAGGGCACCAAATTCTCCTGGGGGGAGCGACCTGGGAGGGGCCAAAATTCCCAAAATTTTCCCAAATTCCCAAAATTTTCCCAAATTCCCAAAAATCCCCGGTCGAAAATCTCGATTTTCCCGCTTTCCCCGCTCCAAAAAAACCAAAAAATCTCAATTTTTGGGTTTTTTTCCCCCCCACCCGTTTTTCTCGCCTTGGAGCCGTTAAAAAAAAAATGGTTTTGGGATGGATGAATTTGGGAAAATTCTGGAAATTTTCAAATTCGATTGAATTCCAACAAAAACGAGAGGGAAAATTCCAATTTTTGACAGGATTTTTCTCCCAAGAAAATTCCCATTTTGGGGAGTTTTTCCATTAAAAAAAATCCCATATTTCAGTTTTCCCGTGGAAATCCCCATTGGAAATTCGCATTTTAAAGGAAGTTTTCCACGAAAATTCCCATTTTCAGGACATTTTTCCCACAAATATTCTCATTTTCAGCATTTTTTTTTTCCAAAAAAACACCCGTATTTACTATTTTTTTCCCCTAAAAATTCCGATTTTTTGGACATTTTATAAACGAAAATTCTCATTTTTAGGACATTTTCCCCACAATTTTTCCCATTTTTAGCAATTTTTTTCCCTAACAATCCTCATTTTTGGGATATTTTCTCCACAGAAATTCCCAGTTTTTGGCTGTTTTTCACAGATATTCCCCTTTTTAGGATTTTTTTCTCCCAGAAAATGCCCATTTTTTGGGATTTTTCCTAGAAAATTCCCATTTTTTTTACCGATGGAAACGACGTCCCCGGCCACGATTTCATCGCTGGGAATCGGGCGCCACTTCCGGTTCCTGTACACCTGAAATTCCCCCCAAAATTCCCAAATTTTGGGTGAAAATCAGCAGGAAAAGGGACAAAAAATGACCCCAGACCCCAAAATTCCCGATTTTCAGAGAAAAAGAAGAAAAAAAAAAACCAAAACAAAAAAATCCAAATTTTGGGATAAAAATCAATGAAAAAATGATGGGGAAAGGGACAAAAAAAAAAAAAATCTCAAAATTCCAAATTTTGGGATAAAATCTCATTTTTTGGAGTAAAACCAGTGGGAAAAGGGACAAAAAAACTCAAAATTCAAATTTTGGGATAAGATTTCATTTTGGGGGATAAAATCAGTGGGAAAAGAGACAT